GATTTTGAAGTTGATGCCATTGTGGTAGATGAGAATGCAAGCTACAGTATCCCGATTTCTACAATTGTAGAACAAGTATCACTTGATACTACAGAAAAAATTGTAGAAATCAAATACATCGTGAAATCAAATAGTAGATTGCAGATAATTTATAGACAAATTGTAGTTAATTTGTAGATTGTAGATAATTTGTAGATATAATTGTAGATACGTTGTAGATAAATTGTAGATAAACTATTTTATGATTGTAAATATTTTTATTGTTGTTTGTTATGTAATTCTAGGTGAGGGTTTCAACAAATCATATCCATACTGTGATAGACGGTGTGAAGCGGTACATGAATCCTACATTATAACTACTATTAACTACAAAAACTCTACAATTATGTATAAAACCAGTTCTACAATTCAAACAAATTTACCTACAGTTTACCTACAGTGAATGTACAAATTACCTACAGTTTAAGTACCTAATATAAGAATAACTACAATTTACCTACAGTTACAGGGCAAACAGGAAACACATCATCCACAATCATGTCTACATTATATCTACATTTTAGACTACAATTAATCTTGGAATGTTCTACATAAACTACAAACTAACTACAATTACACTACAAATAGTAAAACTAGGTGAGGGCTTTAACAGATCATATCCATTACACTAAATTTACAATTACACTACAATTACACTACAATTACATTTTTTATAACTCTTTTGTTTCTAATTTCATTTTTTGCTTCTCCAATGATTTTTGTTCGGATCATGATTTTTATTTGGAGTCTTCGTGTGCTTGCAAATTTGAACTGGGTGTGGATCTAGTTGCTCGCTCCTCGTCGTTGCTGTTGTTGTTGTGAGCAAGCTTCTGTTTTGAACAAAAATAAAGCTACATGTTTGTGAAAAGAGTTGGTGCTCAATGAATTTAGAACGCCCGGTACTTAATCTTTCTACATTCCACTTACTTGAACACGCTGATAATTGCGAGGAAATCCNCCTGCCAATCCTGAAAATCATAGATATTGCTTTAACAGTAAATATTGAGTTCTCCTCCATCGCTATATTCTTTTTTTTGATAACGAAGAAATCTTTCTAAGTCGTTTGGAGAAGTTGTCGGCAGCTTTTCATATTAGTCTCTTTACCAATAATGTCTCATTTTTGACTTTTCCAGAAGAGGAAATTTTGTTTGGTTTCAGAAGAGGGAAAATGGTAAAAAGAATGTGGGGTATGGGTAAAAACGTGGGTGAGGGGGTGAGGGGTAAGGAGAGAGAAACATGAGATATATGGATACCTTTAATTAAGGAGTAAAAATTGCCAATTAATTAGATATAGATACCTTTAATTAAGGAGTAAAAACAGCCCATTAATTAGACCCTTAATTAAGTATGATATAGGATTGGTAATTTGGTATACTAAGTGTAATTTACTCAAACCTTAAACATGTAGGGTAAAAAGGTTTCCTATGTGGTATAGGAATGTAAAAATTCCTTAGTTATATTAGTAACTAATGTGAAGGGTTACATCCCTTCAAGCAATATTTCATTTATTTGTTTTAATTAATAAGATAAAAGGAGGGCTATTATGGTAATTTAACTTTTTAGTTTAGGGCTTCCCACTTTTATAATAATATAGATTTTATATTTGTTTACATATATATAAGTTTATTTCAAAATTTTGAAAAATTCATGCCAATTAAATAGGGAAACTTACACAAATGTCCCAAATAAATCTTAACTTACCAACCTCTAGCCATTAGTCATAGACTTACCAAAACTAGCCAACAAAAATTGAAAAACCAAATAATAGGGTTCTTTGTCTCAAAGAATCACATGCAAAAATCACCTTCCATATTTTTAAGCGTGATTAACAACATTAGATACAAGATGGAAAGAAAATTTCATGGACGGGGTAGCAAATAAGGTGATGAAATAAAAAAATCTATATAATATTCCAAAAATCTAAACAAAAAAAGAACTTTTTCAATGAGCATAGTTGAAATTCATTGAAAATATGTAGATAAGTCAATATACAAAATTTGAGGAAGATTGGAGGAGATTTGGACTGGTTTTTGTTTCAAAATTCGTAATTAAATCGAGTTTAAAAAAGTCTTCTGCGACACATGTATCACGCATGTATCTCACACACAGGTATACATGGATATACATGTGATACACTATTGATACAAATATGATACATATGTGATACACAAATGATACACAGTGTGATACACATATTTTTTTTTTCATGTTCAGCTTTTACTTCGAATTTTCAATTCAAACAACCTCAAAACTTCACCAAATCATCCCAAAACTGAGATTCAAGCTCCTTATGTTGTGCCCAATCTATTCTAATAACACCCACTCAAAACAAAGCAAAAATTTGATATTTTTTTGCTACAAATAGCTAATTGGCTAATTTGGCTAATATTAGTAATATTTTATCAATTGGCCAATTTTGTAATGAGCTACTTATAAATGGACATAGCTGGTAATTTCCCAATTAAATACATCAAAAGGTAAAGTATCTGACAATCTTACCCATTATTTATTATGGGACCAACAAAATATAATTTGTGCGAAAGAATCTGAACAAGCAATTTGACACTATAAGTTAATCGGTAAAGTAGTCTAACGACCCTTATAAATTCCTTTAGAAACGATGAGGATTACAAATTTAACATTATCTTACTTCATAAGTTCTTCTTTTTAAATTTTTTTTTCCATTTCAATGGGGGAAAAGGGGTCAAATTCGGTCATAACCCGTACTTATGGTATAAAATGTTCAATGATATTATTAGACAATTATATTTGATGATATTTCTACGGGTTTAAAGTAGTTCTAGAGTTATATTAATGACTCAATGTACCGAGTTTGAAAGATAGAGAAAATTACAGAGCAGCTCCATATACTAATGTGAGAGAAACGCCCATACATATAAAATATGAAAAGAGAGCATTTGTGAAAAGGGATTCACCAAAATTTGGTTCTAATGTGAAAAAATTTAAGCATTCAATCCACAATATAAAGTGATGGATCGAGTAGTTTAGGAGTGCTATATAAACCCCTTTGAAAATTCTGAATAGTTGACAAATATCGAATTCTCAAACAGTATGATGTGCGAACTTCTGTATTTGTAATAATTTTTCTTCTATTCTGGAGTATATATTTTATCATAGCTAGGGTTGTTCATAAAAACCCGAAAAACTGAACCAAATCGAAAACCAAACCAAATCGACCAAAAAACCGATACTTTTTAGTTTGGTTTGGTTTTGGTTTTGAATTTTAAAAACCGATCAAATTTGGCTTGGTTTTGGTTTTAATAAAAAAATAACTGAAAAAAACCCGAACCAAACCGACTATAGGAGTAGCTATTTCAAATTTATGATTACACCTATATGTATATTTTTATACAAAGTTTCAAAAATTTTATGGTGAATGTTAATCGTTTGCACTTTTAGTACAGTTCTTTACCTTTATTGGTAGTTTTCTTTTGTTAAGTGTAAGAACCCATATTTCATGTTAAAAAAATATATATTTTTAATTGAGTCCTTAAATTATTCATCACTGTTTGATTCAATCATCATCTATATATTTTAGTAAATAATAGATTTCTCAAAGGGAATTGATTTGATAGTGTTGCGTTGAAAATGTGGTTGCCGGAATATGTGTTTGGTAGTGTTTCTTATATTTAAGAAAAGCCGAGAAATAACCGAAAAAAACCGATATAAATCGAATCGAGAAAAAACCGACTTAATTGGTTTGGTTTGGTTTGGTTCTAATATTTGAAAAACCGACTTACTTGGTCTGGTTTTTTTTAAAGGAAAAACCGATCCAAACCGAATTATGAACCCCTAATCATAGCTTTTCTACCATAATTGAGCTTCATACAAACCGCAGCAAACGGCCAAAAATAATTTTATTGAACTGATTTGACAGCGAAATACCATTCCAAAGTCCAAAAGAACAACACTACAAGATAGAAAATTCACTCCTATCTGTTTCTTGCTGTTTAATAAATTGTACTACTACCACTGCTTCCCTTACTCCCACCATATATATTCCTATCCTCAACAAGACAAGATGTAGTAATTATTTTTGGGTTTTGTTTAATATGTACCCCACCTCGACTGCAAAATGGCAAGTGTAGTTTGCCTTTATTAGTTGGAGTGCAAGAATTAAAAAGCTGCCAATTCTTGGATTTTGCTTTCCTCACATGTAATTGGGGTGATTTGACACACTTAAAAAGTCCACCCTTTTTCCCATATTGAGAATCTTTCTGTTGTTCTTGGGACTCTTAAATACTCCTGTTTTTACAATTAGATTTTCTTAGTACTTGTGTTATTAGTGTATATGTGCTCTTACTGTATCTTGCCTGACTTTTATGTTCTATTCTTTTTCTTCCGATTCCCTCACTTCCTCTTAGTTTTTCAGCTGAGAAATTGATTAAATTCAGGAAGCACTCATATCTATAACAACAACAATTAAAGTTGGTATTAGCTATACGAATCTCAATCTCAATCCTTACTGTTAATATCACTCCATTTAAGCGCATATCCGTCCAATATTCTATCTTATATGTACTACAAAAAGAAATTAAGCAATAAGAATTATGTAAATTATATCGAATAGAAAATGTTCTTTGCACAGGGGTTTACTATTTGGAAACTTAAATTTCTAAATCAACAGTTGATTTGAGAAAGGAGATTTCCGATATAAAAAGAACAGAGGTTCTCAAACTAGGCAAGTCTCGCTAACAGTAACAAAACAATGTTGGTAATTCATAGACCGACAAACAAGCGTCATTAGTTCATACTTCATAGGTTCTCTTACATTTAAACCATCAATTACGACAACATCATGTCCAGCCGAATTGACATTCAGGCTTGGTGAGTTAAATACTTCAGACAAGATCAATTTTGGCCCACACCAAAAGGAATTCCACTGGGTACAGAAAGAGATATAGACTAAATATATATGATGGTGCGCAATGGAACTTAGCTCAATAAAACTACCTTTCCTTGATTTGAACCATACCAATATTCAAGTTTATTACAAGTATAAAGAGACTACATCAATGCTAAAACACAAATCTTCACTGTTTGGCAAAATCCAAATGCACCTGACACCCCACCTTGGACAAGAAGGCCACCATATCAAGTACAGAGAGTATAGTGGAAGCAAAATATTACACAGCACAAGATAACGTCATTTCTTTCTCAGCCCTCTTAGATAGCGTCATATTCAGATGTGATCATCATTAATATATATCCTACCAAAAAGGATTGTCAATTTGAATAGTTATCAAGCACAAAAGCTGTTTTACATTCTGGGCAATTTTCTAGCCCATTTGGCTATTTAGCTGCAAGCTACACTACTGCTCCTATCAGGTTTTGATTTACAGAATCTTTGAGAAGAACAGCATCGGAGACACTAATATAAATCACTTAATTATATTCGCCATGCCTTGATGTCTTACAACCATTTTCTCCAACTGGCTGACCTTTTGTCACCAGACAAGAATCTAGGAAGACTAAGAAGGCTATTAACCCTTGTAATTCCCTCAAGGGCCGACCATTCCTCATCTTGTGCAGTTGAAAGGCACTCAGCTAGGCTTCTCTTAGACTGGCCAAGACCCTTATCAGCAAGCTGTTCTTCCACTGACTCATCAACAGGAACTATCTCACTGGAATCTTTTGTAGTACCTGAATGTTCAAGAACAGCAAAATGAGAAACTGAAACAGTATCGACATCTGCACTTTCAAAGTTGCCATCTGTAATAATTGTCTTCATTTCCACTTCAGGAGCCTTTGTCAAATCATGTTGCTTCTCTGTCACTATGGCATTAGGTGCAGGTACGCCGTCCAGGTAAAGGCATACTACAGCACAGTCATCATTCTTTGATGTTGGGTACTTCAGTCTCCAAGCTCTTGTCGCGCAGTCAACAAGAGCTCGGGCAGCTGTAGCGCGATTCGGGGCTGAGGCCACAATATCCACAGCTTCCTTATTAGAAAGGACATCCCATACCTATACATCGCACGATAAATTATCACCGTGAGACAAAGTTGAAGTGCTAACAAATGGAAACTGAAAAAGGAAAGTCATAGCGTGAAGTTCAGTGTGTTTTCCCACAAGATGAGATAGGATTTTCTTTTTTGAAAGGAAATAATGTTAGGTGAAAAGTACCCCATCAGTTGCTAGAACAACAAACTCATCCCTATCGGTAATGCGGTGGTAATACACATCAGGGACAGAGATTAAACCAAAATCCTTGAGACAAAAATCACCAAACGCTCTGGCCATTGCCAAACCAGGAGAGTCACTGTTTGGCAACCATACACGTGCAACCTCTGGCTCATCTTGCAATGCGAAAACTCTGCCTTTGCATTTCTGTATCCTAGCAGCTTCTCCTACATGACAAAAAACTTCTAATTCCAACAATTGAAAAACAAAATTTAAGAACGTCGATAGTTTGTATGTGTGTGTATATAGAGAGAGAGAGAAGAGAGAGAGATACTTGGAAGATTAGGCTTCAAATCTACTGTCAACTGTACAGCCATCAAATAGTTGTCTTTATCTCTAGTTGCCAATACTGCTCTCGAGTCACCAACATTACCAACTATTATATCCTGGCCCTGAAAGAAATCACAGAAAGATTAGGTAAAATGCTTTTGAGATATGGCCCTGCTTGTCCATAAAAAAAATTTCCTTTTTTCTTCAAAAATGTGTTTGTCCATGAAATTTTGCCAGTTTTTTTATTCGAAAATGAGTTTTTCAAAACCACTTTTTCAAAATTTTCAACAAAATTTTTTTCCCCACTCACAAAACTGCAACAATATTTTCAAGTGAAATGCATGTCCAAACATAACTTCAAATCCCAAATACCATTTTTCAACTTAACTCCAAATACTAGTTTTTTTTAAAAATTACAATTTTTATGTCCAAACGCCTACTTAAGCAGTTAGAAAGAGCTAGTAACCAAATATATGGCAGAATCATGTGCAACCCTCCCACTCAAGCTTAATAATTTTCTGCAACTAGCATGTTTTACCATCATACACAAGTCAAGTAAGCAGTATTCATCAATCAAAATCCACATGACTGGTCAAAAGAGTTGACATGACCAAACAACAGAGACGTTGTCAAAAAAGCCTGACAAATGCAAATTTCTCAATGTATCAGGAATTAAACCATCGAAGAAGAAGACATAAAATGAAAGAGAAATTTGTCTAATTCCAACAGTATGTGAGGCATGCAACTGTATTTCGAAGTTCACAATAATGTTTTTAAACAACTCTAACTAACAATGAACAAATAACAGCAGTATGGGTTTCCCAAAACATGATTTCGGCAATAGCTAATGTACTTTGGATGACCGACAAAATAAGAAAAGCCAGGTCACAATTTATTGTGTGGTCATCTGATAGGTGCATGCCACTTTTAGACTGTATACCAGTATGATGAGAATTTAGAGTAAGAAGATATCTTGCTACGTTCAGTTTAACTATAGGAAGAAGACAAATATTGTAGACAGAACATTCAGTTGAAAGACAGAGCAGTAAGCAGAGTACACTTTGTCAAGGACACCGTCTACCTAGGTATGTAGCAAAAGTTCATTGCTGATATTTGAATGGATAGATAGAAACAGTAAATAAACAACTGTATCATATTTTCATGTTTGATTAACTCATGTCGTAGTACAATCAAGGACATCAAAAGGTGAAAATCCTTCAAAAACAAAGACAATGAATAGTTAATAGGCAATGACTGGGAATTCAAAATAAGCTCACTAATTTGCTGCTATAATTACTGCACGTTCACCATTTATAAGTACCTGATTACTTTGAAATGTTAGGAAAATCAACCTTGTTTGTAAAAGGCAAAATACATCGACAGCCCCTTAAAGTTGTCCTCACTTTTCACTTTGACACTCCATTTTAAGTCCGTTGCATTTGAACACTCCAACCACACCTCGAATGTGTCATTTAAACACAAAATGCTGTTGTATTACACTATTTCTTAGAGCGTGACAGAGTAATTTTTCTTTTTAAATTTTTTTTCTCTTTCTTTTTCCTCCTATCCTTTTGCACACCATAGTCTAGGTCATCACCTTCCTCTCTCTCCTTCGAACAATCCACCACCATCCACCTTACTTTTTAGTTTTCATTGCCGGGATAAACAGAGATTGCCTACAAACATTTATATTCTTTTTTGTTTCTTTCCCCTTTTTCTCAACTCGGATTTCTTCTTCTCCAATTAGCCACTTTTTCACCACGCAGAGATCCCCTTTCCCCACTCCTTTGTCTAAATTTGGCAAAAACTAAAGTCCCTGATTCGATCTGTAACCAATTCGTGCTTATGCTTAAAAAAAAAAAGCAATTCGTGCTTCCCACACAATTCCGACTCTTCTCCCTTCAGATATGAGGTTAATGCCGGCAGAAACAATGATTAGAAAGCTCAAACGAAAACAGAGACGGAGACTCTGAAAATCCAGCCACTGAGCGAGAAGAGTCGGGTTGGAGCTTCAAAGTTTTTGTTTATAAAAATGCGAAACAATAAGGGACAGAAGCCAGGGTTGTTTGACTGTGGTTAGAGTGATGCTCGTGGATCTGTCATGAATTGTTCTTAATGGCTGATTTATGGCTAAAACTATTGTAGGTGGTGGTTAAAACCTTAAAGAGGTTGAAGCTGGAAGACTCAAGCCATGGTTATAGGAGTACTTTGTTCTTTCGTTTGGCAGAAGAAGATGGAAAAGAAGGGGGGTTGGAGTCGTCGGGGAAGATGACGGAGGAGAGGGGTGGGTTGGGATTCTTGTTTTTCTTTTATTCTTTTTCTTTTCTCAAAAGTCTCTTTTTAATTTTTAATAAACCCATGTATCTCCATCTTATTGGTTACTCTAGCGCGTGAATTCCACCCATCTATTACGTTTGGCTGCCTATAAGTTTTGTGTCTAAATGACACATTCGAGGTGTGGTTGGAGTGTTCAAATGGAACAGAACTAAAATGAAGTGTCAAAGTGAAAAGTAAGGACAACTTTAAGGGGCTGTCCATGTATTCTGCCTATATAAAAATCGCTTAACAACTTAAAATTATACCACTAATCATATCGATTGCAAACAAAACAAACATACCTATCCATATCAAAATTTTACGAGTGTTTAACGGGAAAAAAGTACCTATGATTCACTACGCATCAATGGCACCTCTATTCATCATTTTCACGTGTCTGCTTATCCATGTCACCATCCTTACCTCTCTACCCCTAATTGCATTGTCTCTTCTTGTCTCTGCTCCTACTCACAGTCAAGATACCCCTCTAAGAGATAGGGATGAATAATCATCAATTGCTCTTTTTATATAAGAAATAATTGGACATTGTCTATATTATGGGTATAACAATTTCCATGTGAGGTAACAAAAGAAGTGAAGGTGACGCCTTATGGTTTGAGGAGCCTTTTGAGTTAGTTTTAGTAGCTAAAGAACGAAGAGGCAGAGAATAGAAGTATGAAAAGAGGAAACAGAAAAGCCAATGAAGGATGATGGAGATGCTAAAGACCAGGAGACAGGGCAAAAAGAAGGTAAAGAAGAAATTATTGAAAAAGAGGGTTAGGTGGTTTTGCCAACCTATTTTAGGCCTGAACTGAACAAAACATCAAATAAGGAACATTAAAAATAAAGCACAGTAACCCAAGCAAATATTTTGATTTGAGCACCACAAATTACTAGTACCATAGGAAAAATGCATGTGTGTTCATTTAATGTAATACACAGCATGGAATTTTCCTGTTTTAAGCTCATAATTTCAGCAAGTGAAGTTCTTCCATCTACCAATGAAGGGATATATGATGTTCCAACAAATACACTTATAGTTCTAAGCTTACACTCAACAGCTTAAAGGAGGTGGCCAAGGGTAGGTTGAATCTTGATTCTGGAGGATCTTCACTGCCTGTTGGGAATAAGGAGAAGGTGGATGTAACAGGTAGCACCTTGTGAACAGAAAGTTGGAGTACTTATGTTTCACGACAGTACTTCATATGAATGCATTTATGGAACTATCTGTTGTTTGGAGCTCGTCTCCCGAGGTCCTTTTTTGGGTTCGGGGGTTGGCAGGAAGAGGATTGACAACAATGAAGAATGACACCGACCAAGTTGTGATTGTCGGAAGCTGTACAGTAAGCTGCTGTTTTGAGGGTCTAAGGTGCAAATGTTACAGATGAGAGACTAACAGAGGACATTATCATCACTGAAAATTTCAACTACTTTTTCTTCAAATGTTGATAAAATTTTCATTTTGGTGGACAGTCATATAGCCTCGTTAGCCCAAACATTCTTAACTTCATCCATTCCAGCAGAACCACATAATGCACAACAAAGTGGCCATGTGAATTGATGAGCTACTCTCCGGAGTAGTGCTAACAATGAACCAGAAGGTACCACAGGTGGCCCACAAAGTGACAAAATGACCCAAGACTAAAAGAATGTAGGAGAACAAAAGTAAGAGTGCTGATTATAGTGGGAGCATTATTCTAGAGTATATTTGCTAGCAACTATGCCAATAGTCCTTATCTGCATACTTAAACAGGCTGGGTAGAGTCTACGAAGAAATCAAAATATTGACTTGAAACACCCTATATAGCAAACTCTGGCTTACTACAGAATACAAAAGATCCTACCATAAATAACTACGATTTTCTTCTTTCGGCACATGAAGCAAATAAGCACACACTTAGATGTTGATAATAATGGTAAAGTTTTTTATTTGGATAAGTAATAAAACATAGACCCATTTTTTCCCAGCCTGCAACACGGTGTCAGTATTTTTAAATGCTTCAATTCGAGAAGAAGTTATAGCTAAAAGAAAACCAATAGTATAAGTATTACCTGCATCACCAAGGAAACAGCAGTTGACCCACTACAGAAACAGTCAATTGATGGATGCAACTTGAGTTCCTTATCCATTGATCTGAAAGCTTTTAATAGTGACCTCTTAAGGGGAAGATGTATTTCTGGGAACTTTTCATTGCTCTCAGCTTCCACGGCTTCAGTCAAATCATCATCCAAGACGTCATCAAGATGTGAACCTCCATTAGCATTTCCATTCTCAGAAGCATTGCATTGATCACCACTGGACTTAACCTCCCACTCTGAACGCAGCAGAAGTGGAAGGGTATCTCGAACTTTCCTTGCCACCATATGGCCATACGGACCATGTCCATCAAATACTCCACAAAAGGTTGTATCACTTCTCGAACAATAATTCTATTGTAGAAACATTCCAACCAAGTCATAAACTGACCCAAATAGATTAGAACAAATTAATTCTTCGTTTGACAAGTTTGGATTTAATCAAAATGCAACATACACTTACTACACTTTCTCAACAATCAAAAATTTTTATGTAAAAAATAAAATTAGATGAAAGAAGTCTCGCAGACAACAGCTAAATCAGCATAAAACTTAGGGAAAAGCTCTGCTAGAATTCCATTTTGTATTAGATCTACAGCAGATAAGCCGTTTTCTTCATAAAAAACAATAGATAAGTCGTTTAGCTCGGACAGCTACCATAATTGATGGATGAGAGAAGCATAGATATGACTCTTCATAATAAAAATTCATTTGATGCATTCAATATGAGATGATTCACCATAATTAAACTTGCACTGGCCGTCAACCTACCGCAACCCTCCCCATTTACCCGGCCAGGGAACCGGCTATATATGGATAATTAAAAGCTTCATTTTTTTTTAGATTTCTAAGCTCTCATATGCACAAAATGATAAAGGATTTGGTTACTTACGACATAGACACATTCAATGCAAAGACAAAACAGGGAAAAAGACACACACACTCACAAAAAATCGCAAAGGAAGAGAAAGAGAGAAGTGAGGACCTCCCAAACGATCATGGCATCCTGATTGGTTCCTTTTTTTCCTTGTTGAGTATGTAAGCAAGCAACAGAGGTTGCGCCATTTGCTAAAAGCCGTCCAGGAATATGATGCAGCGCCCGATCCTCACCTCCTCCTCCACCAATACCGCCACTTAACTTGCTTAAAAATGTGCTGAAATCGCCACTGTAGCTGTTCTTTCTCAACTTGGAATCAGCTCTTCCGCTTTCGCTGTTACTGTCCCATAACCCATCACCGCTCTTGCTTTTACTTGAGGAATAGCAAATCCCCATTCCCGTTCAAATATTTGTGATTCTCTCTCTGGAGCAATTGATCAAACACTTTACACGATCCACCTGAGGTTCACTACTTTACTGCTCAAACAATTATAAAGTTGCTAGCTGCCGTAATTCACTGAGATTTATAGTTCTTTGTAGCTCCGATTCACAAATAAAAATGAAAAATTAAACTAATCCAGAAGAATTGAGTGCTAAAAACCCCGATTAATTAGAAGATACTGAAGCACAGATGGATCCAAGGAAGCTTTTAATCATGTTTTGGTGAAAATTGAACCCTTGTGATGAGATAAAAATTGCAAAAAGTAACTGAAGAATCCAGATAAGATTATAATAGATTGTAGTAATAATCAGGTGAGGGAGGATGAGTAGATGTGGAGTTTATGAGTTACTATTTGTTATAATTCTATTATGTAGTACTATGAATTAGTGCAATTAATTAAATAACGTAGGTCGTCTTGTTTGAATTGAATTGAATGCTAATTGCTATTTGACTGTTGTCCGTTGGCTATCCCCAAGTCCCACGCGGCCACGCCATTTCCCTTCTGTCTAATAAGGTCAAATTACCAAACCCTCCCACTTGCTTTGACAAATTGCGGGAACCTTCTTTTCACGTGATGCTTTTACCTCATTTACTTTTAAAAACTTACATTTTAGCCCCTCCCACCTTATTAGCCATAGAACATTTTTGGTCGCGGACGTATAATGGTTGGGCCTAATATAGTAGCTTCAAACTTAAATTTTGTATATGTATTAAGAATTTTATACTCTATTTGTGGGACTATATTGGATATATTTATTGGTATTGTAGTATTAAAATTTCTATTATATATATAAAAATATTAAACTATGAACTGAATAACACAAACAGTTAGTAGGTTTAATAGCATTTCAAACTCATAAAATTCAAATCATGGATCAACCCTGTATAATTCTCAAACTACACTTTAGAAAGTCGTTGACCATAGAAAAGTTGGAAAAAAGGACACAAAGAGCTCGTTTGGATCGACGTAAAAGAAGCGACTTTTCATCAGAAATAGGTTTTAAGCCAAAAAGCAATAAGTTGAGGTTTCCCAGCTTATTGTTTTTGGCTTGTTTTAAGTAATCTTTAATTTATTTTAAGCACTTTTTGACTTTGCCAAAAAGTAGAAAAAAAATAAAAAGAGCTTAAAAACTAATTTGACCAGCTTAAAAGCTTATTTGACCAGCTTAAAAGCCAATCCAAACACTTTCAAATTTATGTTATCGCCTTTTTTTCTCTTTTTTCATTCCTCCTAGAAAAAAATTGTAATCTATATCCGTTACTTTTTTTTTTTTTTTTGTGTATGTATTTTGTCTTAAAAGACAAAACTAAAGCGGAGTTTGACTATAAAACTAGTAATTTCACATACAGGAAGCATGCGCTATACATCCGTTGACATTCAGACATCTTCAAGTATAACGTTAATTTCTATATTCGTTTTTTATAGCTAGAGTTTTACTTCTAATTTATATTTGAGTTGATTCTTCCTTTTTATGTAGGGATATATCTAAATGATAACCATAATTTTGTTAATATATCCACTTATTTTAAATGTCAATTAATTGTATAGCATGATAGCAACAAATGAGTGGTAAGATTTTAATGCAATCTCAATCAACTAGCTAAAGATAGCAAAAGGGAATTAAGGTGAAACTTTGGGGGACCAATATTGAAGCCAACAATATATAGTGGGACATCCTCCAATTAATTACTCCATTAGAAGCATCTACGATCTACCTTATATTTGGAGGTTCAACCATCACCTTGCACAAATTTCATTTTTAAAATACAATATAGTCATTATCTGTATCTTGATCCTCTTGGAAAATGAAGGTGAAGCGTTTCTAACACGTGTGCCGTTCCCAAATCTTTAGAAGCCCCGAAACTAGCGAAGGATATAATATAATATGGTACCTGCACGTTTATATTTTAAATAACACTTGTAGACTAGTAGGAAGCGGGCTGGAAGCAGGGGCGAAGCCACACTTTGGTTAGGGTTCAGAAAATTTTAGAAAATTATACTGCGTATATAAGTATCATATTAAGTTTTAGAGGTATATAACATAAATTGAACACACTTCGTCGGATTTTTTTTACTTATTTATTGTTTGAATATCATTAAGAAAATTTCTGACTTCGCCACTGACTGGAATATAGTTTCCAAAATTATGTCTTGGTATTTAAATACTAGGATTTTATTTTGATGAGTAGTAATTGTTTTTGAGAGAATTGTTTTGTATTTTGAGAGTTTTATTTTACAAAAACATGTTTGGACTAGAAAACTTCGTGGTTGTTTCGCAAAAAATATTTTGTTTATTATTCGCGAAATGGATATGATTCATGGGATTCCATTTGGCTTATAAAAAAATTTCAAGAAGTATTTAAACAATTTGCTATCTAACACAAATGTAGTGCTAATAGCTTTGATTTGTTTTTACAATGTAGATGGAATAATGTACAAAGTAGGTGAAGTATAGGTAAAGGGCGGAGTTGTTGGTGGAAGAGAATCCGATGCTCTACACAATTCTCTTGTGCCCCTCTTGACTTTCTCTTCTCTTTTCTCAGTATTAGTATTTCTTTTTGTTATTACACTGTATTTGTAAAATAAATTCTGGAAATATAAATGAATATAAACAGTAATGAATATAAACAGAAATGACATAAACCAATTCGAGCCCACTGAATTCACAGTGTTTCCTTAAGGAATTTAATCCCCTCCTAGTACCCAAGGTTATGGATTATTTCCTCCCAGGATAGAACGAATTACACACTGGTGTAGTGGTACTTCAAACCCCAGTGTTTCAGCGAACACAAAGTTCGGTAGCAAATCACACTTACTTTTTGCTTTGTTTTGATGCTAAAAGTATGCAGAAGAAGGGGAGGAAACTCAGAAAATTGTAGTTAAAATTCTGAGCAGAATAGTGTTGTATTTATAGCCAAAGTTGGGTCTCTTCAGAATGGCTGTTTATGCAAAACGCCCACAACATAAATGCCATTACATAAATGGCCATTTACTCAATAATAAAGAGGGAAAATAAAGAGGGAAAATTGAAGAGGGTAGTTACTTTTCTGTTACCAAAACAGAAAAACGGATTGGATTTAATATTAATATTTAATATTAATATTTTGTTATTAAACCAAATATTTAATAACATTTCTGTTAATATTTTACTATTAACAAATAAATTTGGTCCAAAAAGTTAATCAATCAATCGATCATTTGACCAAATCCAAATCCAAATCCGAATCCGAATCCGAATCCGAATCCGAATCCGAATCCGAATCCGAAGCCGTAGCCGAAGCCGAAGCCGAGCCGAGCGAGCGACGACGACGACGGCGCGAGGCTTGCCTTCTTCTCAACTCTTTAAGAGCTAGAAGAAGAGCAATTGCTTATATACCCATAAAAAACCTCTTCCTCTTCCAATATGGGACAATGCCCATTTGCCAAGGGAGGGGGAACTTAAAATTTCACTCAAAAATTTCATTTCCCTCCATTTCCCATTCACCCTCTTTTAAGTATTTAATATATTAATTAAATACCTTANACGGTTGTGTTTTTTACTTTATATATATATATATATATATATATCTTCAAGCATGTGATATTATTGGTTGTTGTCTTGATAAGATTAACAATTAAAATAAAAAAATCGAATTACTCTCATGAACAATGATGCTGGTAAAAGTCTTAATATCACAATTAACACATTGGCTGAACTTTCATCTTATAATACACAAATCCAGATTAGTCTTAGAACTGCAACAAATTTTGATACTTTTTGTAATTAGAATCAGACTCCACAGAGGCCATTTCCATGATTCAATATTGAAATGATCAGGGGCGGAGCCACATTGCCGGCTACGAGTTCGGTTGAACCCAGTAGCTTTGATTCAAAATTTGTATTTGTCTTCTAAAAAAATTTTCTTGTATATAAATATTAATTTAGAACCCAATAACTTAAAAGGATTAAAAATCCAGAACTGATAAGCTCGAAATTTTAGCTCAGCCTCTGGAAATGATATGCTAACTAAAGTGATTATGGCAGGATATTAATTACTTCTTAGAGTAGTCGATGTCTAGCCATGTATTGGAGCAAGATGAACTTTTCGATAGGAAGAAAGACGCGCAAACGAAAAAGGGCTAAAAAAGAACAAAATAATTTTGTATATAAAGATATGATTTGGTTCCGAGTATGAGCCTGGTGTTACTAGACTGTATTTGTAAAATAATTCTGGAAATATAAATGAGTATAAACAGAAATGAACATAAACAGAAATGACATAAAACCAATTCGAGCCCACTGAATTCACAGTGTTTCCTTAAGGAATTTAATCCCCTCCTAGTACCCAAGGTTATGGATTATTTCCTCCCAGGATAGAACGAATTACACACTGGTGTAGTGGTACTTCAAACCCCAGTGTTTCAGCCAACACAAAGTTCGGTAGCAAATCACACTTACTTTTTGCTTTGTTTTATGCTAAAAGTATGCAGAAGAAGGAGAAGAAACTCAGAAAATCGTAGTGAAATTCTGAGCAGAATAGTGTTGTATTTATAGCCAAAGTTAGGCTGAAATCTGAAGAGGTGCAACTCTTCAGAATGGCTGTTTATGCAAAACGCCCACAGCATAAATGCCATTACATAAATGGTCATTTACTCAATAATAAAGAGGGAAAATAAAGAGGGAAAATTGAAGAGGGTAGTTACTTTTCTGTTACCAAAACAGAAAAACGGATTGGATTTAATATTAATATTTTATTATTAAAACAAATATTTAATAACATTTCTGTTAATATTTTACTATTAACAAATAAATTTGGTCCAAAAAGTTAATCAATCAATCGATCATTTGACCAAATCCAAATCCAAATCCGAATCCGAATCCGAATCCGAATCCGAATCCGAATCCGAATCCGAATCCGAAGCCGAAGCCGAAGCCGAAGCCGAGCCGAGAGAGCAACGACGACGACGGCGCGAGGCTTGCCTTCTTCTCAACTCTTTAAGAGTTAGAAGAAGAGCAATTGCTTATATACCCATAAAAAACCTCTTCCTCTTCCAATATGGGACAATGCCCATTTGCCAAGGGAGGGGGAACTTAAAATTTCACTCAAAAATTTCATTTCCCTCCATTTTCCATTCACCCTCTTTTAAGTATTTAATATATTAATTAAACACATCCAAAACCCAACAATCCCCCACATGAATGGGGAATGGCTATATCACGGGAGTATGCATGAAAAACTGTGTGATTCACAAGTAAGGATTAATTGCATCTGGATAAGTAGGTTTCCCTTTGAACTTTCCGTAGTGAACTTATGTCGGATATACTTGATCAATCGGTAGATTTGATATCTTTGAACCGTCGAACTTTAGTGTATACCTAGACAACCACAAGTCACACAACCAACCCTTAACCGTCTTTGGTTCTCATTGTTGTGT